CAGAGCAGGGCCAAACCCATGTGCCAAGTGCTGAGCAATGCCAGGCCTAGCTCTTGGCCCAGCCCCGTGCTGGGCAGCGGGGCCAGCAAGCACCTGGCTGTCTCCCTGCTGCTGTAGCCGCTGAATTACAGATGCCATGGTAACCGTATGCTGGAGCGCAGGACGTTAATTTACAAGAGCAGATTTTTCACAAGTGCCACAAGTGCCTGCATCCTACACCAGGCAGCAAGGCCCCCCGCTGCCCCCTGCCCAAGACTGGGTCCCGGGGGGTGGACCTGGCAGCCTCTACTGACCCAAGTGTCCTGAGTAACCTTGGCAAGGACCTCAGGCTGTGAGGGCCACGGGGACATGGGTGCAGGGATGCTCCGGGGGCTGCACCTGACAGCTAGGCTAGGGGCTCTCAACAGGGCTGCACACAAGACCCTTTTGAGGGTGCCACATGCACCGGTGCTACCGCCACAGCTGGATGCAGTTGCCCCATCCCCCTTCTGTGGTGGCTGAGCAGGAAGCAGCCGTGGCAGGAGCAGCTGCCAGCCTGCAGGGCTCTCTGCAGATGTGTGCATTGCTGGGGCAGGGACCAGCAGAATCCAAATAGCCCAGGGAGGGGACGAGCAGGTCAGCCCAGCTGTGGGGCGATGTTGAAGCTGGTGGGCTCTGCCTGCCTCATGTCAGTGCCAAGACCCCCCACTTTGTGCATTTCCAAAGGACCAGTGGCGGGCGGGAGAGGGGAAACCTGAGCTGTCTGTGCTTTCACTGCCCGAGCTACTGCGGTCAGTGCAGTAGCAGGTCAAGGGTGCTGTCCCTTGACCTGCCTTGCTGCTGGGCCCAGGGCAGGATGTGCTCAAAGCTGTTGTGTGGCACGAGACCGAGAGCCAGAGTCATGCCCGTGCCTGGGCCCCAGGGACAACAACCTAACGCTGCTGTGGCTCGGTGCACAAGATGGCAGCAAGATGACATGTCTCTGCTGCGATCAGCTCAGCTCACAGCTCAGCCCCAGCACTGCCTGTCTTGCCCAGCCAAGCCCTGGCAGGGCCGTGTTACCAGCGGTGACCCTTCCTCTTGCCCCCGCAAGGCCCAGCAGCAAGCAAACACATTGGAGGCAGGGGGGAGGGGGGGGTCTCACTTGCTCCGGTTGCCCCCTTGGGCTCTCAAGACCCTGCACTGACACAGCGCGGCATGCTCCCAGCACTAGTCTTGGCTGCCGCTTGTGATCCTGCCTGAGCCAGGATTTATGCCAAATGTATGAGATGCACAGGGTTGGCTGCAAGAGTGGGTTTAATGCAAGCAGAGCCTGTGTCTGAGAGTGCAAACAGCCCAGAGAGGGTGCGGCAGACAGAGGAGGTTTCGGGGCAGTGCCCTGAGGAGGCTGGGACCAGTGTACCGGGCCAGGCCACGCCACATGTGCCCACCATGGATCACGGTACACAAAGGGCAGCACCAAGGGGCTCATTAACCTTGCGGGAGTCTGCTGAAACAGCACAGAAGGGGAGGGGGAGGGTGTAATTGGATTTTTTTTTCCCCCAGCTTTGCCTTGCTAATCGGTGCATTAATTAGACTTGGACAAGGTTCCTGGGATTGCTCGGGCAACATTTGGGTACCCGACAGCCTTGTTTAGCTCTTGATGCTGGGAGGTAGGAGCTCCCACTGTGACAGACTAATGCAAAATACATTAGCATTAATGGTTGAAGCTCTGGAGCCATTGGCGCCCAGCAGTTAAAAAAAAAAAAGCACTCACGGTAGTAACAGGCATCAGCCAGCACATCTCCCCTAGCCAAGAGGGTCAGCTATTGCCAGCCTGTGGGCTGGATGTGGCCCCCTGGAGCCGTGGCATCTGGCTCCTGGCTGTGGGGCTTCAGCTGCACTCACTTTCCTGTGCTGCTGAGCAGAAAATGTGGTGGTGGCTTGGTGCTAACACCATGGGCCCTGTGCCGCCACTGTCACCAAGGCACCCTCCCCGGCTCTGACCCAAACTCTCCCCCCGCACCATTGCGGTCTCTGGCCCTAAAGGTTGCTGCCTGCGGTGCTGGTGGCAATGCTGCGAGCAGGCGCTGAGCAGCTCCTCACAGGCCTGCCAGAGGGAAGCGTGGTTTGGTGCCTGGGCCCAGACACGCTCAGCAAATCCGGGCACCTAGCGACACATGGTCCCGAACAACTGTTTTCCTTTTTAGCAGGAGATGGCAGCAGCCGAGACACGGCGCTTCCCTGGCACGGAGCGGCTGCACTGCAGTGAGACAGATACTGTGGCGGTCGAGAAGCTCGTCGCTGCAGCATGCACGTCAGCACCCGTTACAGCCCCTTTTGTCTGGAGTTTCCTGCTGCAGCAGGCCAGGGCTGAGCAGGCCCAGACACAGCAGCACGCGCCCCCGGCATGGAGCAGGCGCGCAGCCCGGGAAGGGGCCTGTGAGGGGACAGACGTTAGAGCAGCAGAGAGGGGGGGGGCCACGGCTGGGCACCTGCTGCGCCGGTGCAGGGCAAGGCCTCGCATGCTGGTGGGGTTGAAAAGAAAGCAGCCAAGCAAACCCCCCCAGGGGGCTGCAGGAGCCGGCTGGCTCCTGCCGCTGTGGTCCTCGTCTGGCTGAACGGCTGCACTGCAGCTCTCGTGTCTGTCATGACAACCCCCATCCTGCTCACAGCTTGATGGGCACTTTGCCGACCTGCCCCTCAGGCCTTTAGCCCTAGAGTGTTGGCATCACTGGCAGTCGCATATTAACCCCTGCCCAGCTGTGACCTTGCTGGCACCTGCATTTCTGCTGCTGGCTGTGCAGCACTTCATTAACACCGGAGGCGCCAGCAAGACTCAGACTGGGCTCTTCTCCCTCTGCCCCCTGTGGAGCCTGGCACAGTGGGCACAGGGCCCAGAGCACCCACATCACAACAGCCCTGGCAGACCTAGCGCCCCTTGTCCTGTAACCCGGTGAGTTGGGAAAACCAGGTCCGCACCCCTCAGCAAAGGAGCAGGGGAGGGGGTCAACCAAGGTGCCTCCCTCCCTCCCAGGAGAGCGCCCTATGAAGCTGGAGGGGTGCTCAGGCAGGGCTCTCTCTTCTGATAGCTTGGACTAAAAAGGCAGCTGTTGGATTTCTCCTGGGACAGATGCAATGCCTCCCTCCAGTTGGAGATGAAACTCCTACAGAAGGGGCGTAAAGCCTCCCCCCGGCTCCCTGCTCCGTTTGCCGGTTTCTGAACATCTGGTTTGAAGCACCTAATCGCCCCAGTGTGTTTTGGAGGAGCCTGGGCACTCGGAGCAATTCCACCAGGTGGCAGGAGACCTAAGAGCTGGGTGTTAAAATACCCCCCACCTTAAGGCAGTCTAACCCTGGGCAGCTCATCATGAGCAAACCTAATTTTTATGAGCTCTCAAACTCCAGGGGCAAAGATGAAGTATTTACTTCTGTGTTATATGCACCGCACCTGCAGATGTAGCGTGCCAGTATTCTCACCCCCTCCCAGGGGCTATTCATAACGAAGTAGTGGTTTGCTCTTAGGATACCTGCCCTGCAGCTGGGATTGTGTTACTGGATCATTAGCAACACAAGACATTACAGGCAACTGGAGCTGAGCAGGTGACCACCCCAGCATCTTTACTAAAGTGAAGGTCTGGTCCCCATGTTGCTCTGGGTAGGAAATTCTCCACATCAGAGCCCTCATTGGCACTAGCTACCTGAGGCCTTTGAAAACCTGATCTCAGTGCAAGGATCAACCACTCAAATGCCAACCAGCACATTTTTCTCAGGCTTTCCAGGGTTGGTAACATCCTACCTGGACCAGAGCTTCAGGGATTAAGCCCTAGTGCTGCTGCACTGATATCCCACAAATTCTACATGAAGTTATTTTGATGTTTTAAAGACAATCCCTATGGCAACAGGGATAACAAGCCTTTAATTAGCAAGAGATGAGAACCAGAAAGTCATTTATTTTAGAGGGAAGGGACACAACAGAAAGAAGGGCTGCCTCTTCTGAGTAGGATAGAAAGTGGGGGATATTTTCAATACTGAAGTAATTCACGCATTTCTGATCACTTCCTGACATGCTTAAAATTGAGCCAGGCCTTTGTATTGGAGCAAATGCTATGTATTTGACCCTGCTGCACCTTCACTTCCCTACTCGGCCTTTAATATACACAGAAAAATTGGCATGACAAATCATGGATGTGTAACTCCCCCCAACCAGACACAAACCTGTCTGAACGCTTCCTGCATGTCCAGTTTGTTACATTCCCATCCGCTGTCACGCACTTCTCAGGTGGACCACGCGTGTGCACTCTCTCTGTACTGGAGCGTCAGTCTCAAGGCACTGCCCTGCCGCAGCATGCAAGAGACCCAGTAATCCTTCAGCCTGATTAAGGAACAGCAGTGTTCAAAAGCAGAGGTCCAGCCAGGCCTACTCAGCTGGAAGGATGCTGGTGAACAGTAGGGGGAAGTCAACACTATTTGAGGACTCCTCTGAAGTGCAGAGGAAGCGCACGGCACTGTACTCCAGAATGGATATGGGAAAACGAGGTTTCAGCTCAAACGCCAGCTGTATGGTGCTCAATGGCAAAGCAGCACGTGTGGCATTTTAAGACTAAACATTGTTCAAATCCCCTCTGTGTCCAGGCACCAGAGGACTGATTAAAACCATGGTGCTTCAGCCCAGGCATTTCAATTCCCATACTTGATATTGCCATAAGTGTATTTCAGTTTCCTCTGGAACGAGTGCTTTAAGCAAGCCGGATCTTTCAGGGTCTTTACGGCTTTACTGCATACGTAACATCCATTAAGGAAAGTATCTGAACAGATCCCTTGTCCCTTCACTGGCACTTCAGCCACCAACAAACAGTTGTTCTAAACCACTGCAAATAACCTACCATGAGTCAGAGTCTGAATTAAATGACAATCCTTGAAGACCAAATTGCAAAGGTTTCTCTTTGCTATTGAATGAGTCTGTCTGCACAAAAGTGCACCCTGATCTCATATTGCTCATGAATGGAGTGTAAAAAAAAAATAATTTGGTTGGTGATGAATGCTTCAACTAAACACGGTGAGTTTATTATGAAATGAACCTGGTAAAAGCATTTGTACATGTCAAGACAGACCAGTATGAACTTTAAAACCTCCCTCCTCCGCTTTATTGACAGGTAAATTGTTCAAAAATGTTCTCACAATTCAATAATTACAAAGACTTAGACTTACATTAAAAAAGTAAAAACCAGAAAACCCCCAAAGCAGTAGTGTCCAGCTCTAAGTGAGCACCCTTTATCGATAATCTGAGAGAAAGCAAGTACTGTCAAACACTTAATGAAACAGGATTAAATGTTGACTAGAACACTCAGTTTAAACTAAGTAAGTGCACGTCCTATACAGTGTTTCAGAAAAGAACATTAGCCATCGGTATATCATTTGCCCATTTAAACCAAATTTTAAATAAGTGACATCCAACTGTCATAGAATTGGCACAGAAGGCACACTAGTGTGACAATGACAAACTGGATATGCCAGCCACTGAAATAATTACAAGCTTTTCATGAAACGTGGTCACAAATCCTTGATTACTAAATGTATAATACATGGAAGCATGAGATTAAATATACACGCAAAACATCACCACTGCACGTGGGCCATAGCAAAATATACAGGAGTGTGTTGTGCATTTTTCTACATGATCAATATGTGATTAATAATCATGGGGTCTTCATGCAGGTGAGGATACAATTAATGAAAAAAAGCAGCACCCTCGTTTACACGTCCTTCACGTTCCACTTTGGTTACCAATACAAGACTGGTGTTTTAGTATGATACAATCCCTTAATTCAAGCAGACTTCAAGGGTAGTGTTCCCACAAGAACGCTTGCTAGCTAAAAAAAAAAAATAAAAGAAAAAAGTAGTGTATCTTTACACTGAAAAACCAAGAGAAAACTTCTCAGAAGAGGAGAGCAGGAACTAGGAGTAAAATCCGTTTTCACAGCAGTAATCACTGATGTTTTAAAAGCCCTGACTAATGATCGTGACTGGGGCAGGGGCTAAAAAGCGGGGTAAGGGCAAAATGTTATTGGTTACAGTCCTATGTACAAGACTTATAACTGGGTAGAAAGATAGACAGTTGTGTAGCTGAATATGTAATGGCTAAATGAATTAAAAGGCCACAATACTATAACCAACTTTCCTTTGACTTCCTGATGGTTTTACTGATGTTGGAAACAACCTACAGCTTCCTACCATTCTCCTAAAGGCTTAGGGAACAAACAGTTATGGGAAAAAGGGAAAAGTATAGTCATCTGAGGATGCAACTAAACCTGCTTGTATTTCCTATTCAGAGATCCAAATTTTGTCTAAAAGGATTTCCTGCTAATGAGACATTACATCATTCTATAGAAAAATAATATTCCTGATACTGCTTAATAATAACACTATCAGCATCTCTTCTCTATTTCTTTTTCAGCATAAGAATAAGACTATTTACTGGTGGCTGTCAATGCTTCTATGCAAAGTAACTGCATCATCGCTGTGCAGAAAGGAATCAACCATGACTGAACAGTGAACAATTCTGCATAAAAAGCCTGATCCCTATATTGTAGTCAAGGGTTTTTCTTCATTTCAATATTTTGTATCTACAATCTGGACGTAATAATTATTTCTTGTGCAACACTAGAGATTCAGCATCAGCCTTGGCACTAGCATCTGAGACAGCTTGGCCCCGTTCTGGAATACTCCGTGGAGTAGCAGATGATCAAAGTCGGAACTGGTGGGAGTTGTAGTGTTACGCGTCACAGGTTGACTGATCCAATCCATCTAGTGTCAGCTGATTCCTATGCGGAGAATTGGGACTTGGGGGACCGCTTGGGTTTGAGCTGTTAGAGGGAGTAGAGTGTTTGGTGGAGTCTGAATCAGGCTGTTAAAGAGAAACATTAAAAAGGATTACATTTCTTATTTAAAATATGCTGCAACTAAGAAGCTCTCCAGGCACTTCACAAATTATCCTGTGTAACACATTTATGAGGCAGGCAAGCGTGGGACTTGTTTTACTGATTCAAGTGAGACACAGAGAAATGTAGGGGCTGGCACAAAGTGAACTGAGGTTAATGCAAGTATTTCCATTAGTGGCAGTGGGCTTGGATCAGTCATTTACATGACTTACTGATACCAGACAAGTCAGGAAAAGAACTCAGGAGTTGCTCCTTCCTTTCCTAATTCCCCCCGTAAACTACTCTTCCTTAGCCACTAAAAAGCTATTCCCTGTACGAAAGCAAAATTTGTTTGTAGTTGCTGTAATGCAGGATTTTTCAGGAAGCTCTCTTTTGGCGACTGAAACAGATAAAAATAGAGTTTGTTTGCACATATGGTATATAAATAATTCTACCCAAATGCTTCTGTTTTTGGGTAAGTAGAGATGGAAAGAAGTTAAACAGTTTGCAAATTGTTTACCAAGTGGCTCTGGCAGCATTTTGACTGCATGACTACGAAGTATTTTGACTGCATGACAAAAATCATAGATGCCAAACAGACGGGATGCCAAGGTAGGTCCAGAAGTAACAGGTATTTACTGGAGAATCCTTCCAGTGAGTAACTCAGTTCAGAGAGCCTATCCGTGGTCGTTTTCCAGATGTCCTGCTGATAGTTGGAACTCTGCCTCCAAATCTTGGTCCTACCTCAGCAGCCAGTTGGCTACTTTCCCACTCTTTAGGTGCAAGTTGTAAGGCCTGACACTGCACATATTCATGGCTAATGAAAAGCTTCATGGGGAAACCACTGTCACTACTGTCAGTTATTTTTGGGAAGGGGAATTTATATTTAGCAGAAAGACTGAAAGGTGACATCCTTGAATGATGTTGTTCCTGAGATTGTCTTGGCTCAGATATACAAGGCCATCTATAATAAGATTATTCTGACAACACAAACAATTGAATTCATGCTGTGACACATGGCAACGAGCCGTGGGGGAAAAATGCTATAAAGTTGCAAAGCAGCATTAGAGCTTAATTCTACACATATAATAAAGTATTACTTTTTAAATGAAACTCTACGTGACAGCCAGAACAAACCTGAATAATTACACAAATATTTAAGTCCTACCAGAATACGCATCTACGATTAGTAGCAAATCATTAGAATATAGACAGTACAACAATGAAAACAAGATCTGCAGGTGGCCAGCAGCCGAAAAACATCAAGATCTTTTTGTGCCTACACGCAGAATCCCAATTTTAAAATGCTTGCTCTGTGTGGCTTATTCAAGGCAACTACAAGCCAGCACAGAACTCTGGGCCATGACCATCAGAAGTGCCGGGGGTTTGAGGTGTACAACCAAAGAGAAGCAGATTTGTTTGTAGGTAAGTAGAGAAGCAGTCACCTAAGCAATCGCCCTCTGAAAATCAGGTCTTTAAAAATTAGGCACTCAAAAATCACTGATCGCTTGTGAAGATCTTGGTCTACGGGTTTAATCTCCTAGTTATGTTTCTAACACTTCCATCATAGGAAAGACTAGGTCAGGGTCAATACAGGTGAAATAGCTCACTTTCACTACACTGCTGAAAGACCCTGGAGTTTCTCCTGTTTATACTGCTACAGCTATCAGGAAGGCAGAAGGCAAGGCAGGCTTCAGAGGTATGACATTTTGTAAGCAATAACTCACTTTGGTAGCAACAGGCAACAATGTCCTGGCAACAACCAACTTCATCAGAGGCTAACAAAAGCTCATGCCTCTGAATCAGTTAGTCTCTAATGCCTTTGACATGTTACATTTTTTGCACTATATATGCTGTTTCAGTGTGACAAAGCAAGTGTCCACACATTCACAGCCTCCCAGAATCCCAGAGCCATCCACTCTGCTTCCCAAGGGTGGAGGGAGGCAGGGCAAGCAGGGCTCTCTGTTAGTTCTCCCAGCCAGCAAGCTGTCAGAGCCCTGCAGGGGCTCTACTGCCACGGCCGTCAGTCTTGCCAGCGCTCTAGCAGTGGTGGTGGTGGTGCTGCAGGAACAACCATCACCACTGCCCGAACCCTGGGAAGAGCTGGGGTTCTGGCAGAGGCAGAACGGGAGTCTCTCCCACCAGATCAGCCCTTGTGACATGGGTGGTGCAAGAGGAACCCATCTCTACCTTGCTCAGGCAAGAAAAACTATAAAATGTCAACATCAATCTTCATTTTACCTCTTTGTCAAACTCCTGGTCAGGATCGGACATACTGCGCAAAGGCATGACTCCTCCCACATCGCTGCCACCTGCCAAACAAAGGCATTTTACACCTCTTGTTGAAACAATGGAAGTGATAACCTGGGGGGGGGGTGTTGCTTGTTTTCAGTCTTACTTGATGAGGGCCATGAAATGTAGGTTTTGCTTTTCTGCTGCTGCCGTGAGAGGTTAGCTGCAGGGGGACATGCTTTCTCATCTTGCGCAGGAGGTAAGACGCTCTGCAACAGAAACCAAGCAGACCATTAGCTGGCAATAAGATAACCCCAATTAAGGCTCCCCCCCCCCATAAAAGAAGTTCTAACCTAATTTCACAACTCTGCTTCTGAAACGATTACACAGCATTGTTTCAGAAACAAAAACCAACCCACTGCACTTGCTTCACTGCATCCATACACGCACCCTTCAAACACCCTCAAAGAAAGCACTGAACCCGAAAGTGGCCATGAGAAATTCCTTCCAGCTGCTGGAGACAGGAATCACTGGAACCTGAGAGCCAGCAAACCCTTTATATAGGGGTAGTGACACCACCACCAGTTCCGTTTTCCTGTCTCCTCCTGCTGGGAGGAAGGATGCATTATCCTTATCTGGACTAGCTAAAAATGATGAGAGAAATGCTGGCAGCTTTTAAATGGAAGGTAGGAGAGATACAACTGTACGTTCACAGCTTACTCTGACTTAACTTTGTTTTAATTTAGCAGCTGACAAAGGGTTATATTTGTTAATTCCAAGTACAAACAAGAAAAGCAGTAAACAATGACTTACATGCATGCTAGTATTTAGCTTCCAATTGGGTTAGTTTCCCCCAGTAATTTTGCTCTAGTATTAGCAAAGTGCCACTGCACACCATTCCAGTTCCTAAGGTTTAGAGCTACTCCTACCCTTGCTAAGGAAGCAGAGGAGGGAGAGGAAGAGGAAGAAAGCAGAGGGGAGCCTTGCAGTGAGGCCTGGTCATTCTGGAGAAAGATTTCAGCAGAGATAGGGCTCATGTGATAGACGTGCTCAAAGCTTGTTGGAGGTGATATCAGAGCAGAGTGTCGAGAGGATGAGGGGGAAGGAAATTCATTCTGTTATTTTAACAAGACAAACAAGAAAAAGGAAGGAGGAGAGACTGATTATTTATAAAATACTATCAAACTCCTGGCAGTGCTATTTGTTTCTTCTAGCTTTCCATTTGTAAGCCGGCTACGTATATTTCCTTGTATAGGATTTAGAAGCATTAGGCATCGTAATAGCATACAGTGTTTGAAGTCATGACAGGAAAGTGAATGATTTTGTCTGCTTATGCTTAAAACCCTATACATTCCTTTCTGTGCAGCTTTTCCATGCAAAGCTGAACATGAGTATCCCCTCGCCATTATACTGATTTTACCAGTGGGAGATCCATGAGAACTTGCATTCCATCTCCTGGTCCCATATGAGCCACGTGGTTGAAATTGGTCGGGTTGGAAATCATTTTTGACCTTAACTCAGGATCTCTAAGCATTTCTCTGGGAGGGGGGAAAAAATATAGAATTTTTTAAAATATCTGCAATCTTTCCATTTCAAGGGGTACAAATTATGCAGAGAATGTAAATTCTTACCGCCTTTGTTGCAGTCTCTCTTCTTCAGGAACCTTAAAGACAAATCTCCTTTTACTTCTAGTTCGAAGCATTTGCTTTTTGCTGTTATCAGAAGTTTCTGGCACACTGAGGACTGCTCCTGCTGCACCACAAACACAATGCAGTCACACATGTGCATTAAATACTCATACAATAAAATCTACCTACCAACATGCATTGTTTTAAAAAAATGTGATTCCTTGAATCTACATTTTACTAACCTGAGAACTTATTCTTGAAATATATTAGTCGCGGCGGCTCACAGTTCAGGAGATTCAGTGTGCCCTCCACATTTAGTGGTCTGATCTGTTTTGGAAACAAAGGGAGGAAAAGAATCAACCCACGTCTGGCATACACAGGGGAGCCTACATGCCAATTCAGAAAGTTGTACAACAGAAGCGAACGACTTACTCTTCTAAGGCCAATAGTCTGAACCCACTCCATAGTGTTAACATCGAAGACATCAATGCCGTATTCACTATACACTGTTATGTATGAAGAGTTGCAACCTGGAACAGATTAAAAACAACAAAAACAATGGGGAGCTCAGCAACTGTGGAGTTGGAATAAGTTTGGGCAATGCTTCTGTAACAGTGCATGTTTAATCAGTTATGTGGTATGTGAGAAGTGAGAGGAGTGAAAAATTAAAGATAATAGGTCTCCATTCTTTCAAAGTTGCCCATCTTTAAGGTAGAGACTCTAATAGGCCCTCTTGGGTTGATGCTATTTTAGCAAAATGTTTGCTGTGGACAACCACTGCTACCCTGGAATATTTCTTTATTGTGATATTTTGGATAAATTCACTGCTTTTGACTTCATATTATGATTTTAATCATCTTAAGATGGTGTCTAGAGCCTACACAATAAGTGTTAAGAATATCAACTTGCTATTCCATAGGAAAAACAGCCTCTTTCAGGTTACTATTTATAAAGATGCAGTTTGCTGCATTTTGAATATGATGCAAGTTTATGACACACAGCCGGCATAGGTGGCAGGGTCACCATCTGTGAGGCAAGTCATTCAAGGTTTTGCCACCAATCTTAATTTTCATTTCCTCTCTTCGGATCTGAATAATTTACCAACATGCACATATATACCCAAAGGTACCATCAGGTTAATGGAACATACCACTTGGGACTTTCAAACTTGCTCTCTCTCTCTCTCTTTCTGAACCAACGTCAAATCAATTAGCAAATAACTTTAGGTTAGCTCAGAGGAAAATGCAAAGAATCAGGACATCTTGACAGCAAGCAGCTTGCATCAGAAAAAGGCCCATGTTCCTTGGAAAGAACATCTACTATTGTTCATGTGCGATTTTTGGATGGGGGGGGTTGAGAATTGCTTTAATAAATAAGGAAGAGGAAAAATGAAACAGGAAAGCCTAATATACAATTAAATCTATGCAAGAGAACAATCAAATAGAGGGAAGTCTAGAACAGATGGCTATCATGAACCAACCCCTATCTTCTAGAAATGACTTAATGCCTGGACAGGTTTACACATACACATTGGTGTAACTGGTATAACACTATGGTAGAGGGGCAAGGTGGGGGGGAAGAAGTGATAGACAGATAATGCAAACTCCTAAATGAGGGTAACTTCACCCAACTGGTAGAGAATTACCCCTGACAGAATTAAGGTGAAATGCTATTGTCGCACCGTACAGCAACTTAGGGGTCTGTTCACATCGCTCCTGGGGTAGCCATTAGCTCTCAGCCCCCTAGTAACAAAGCATCCCAGAGGCAGTGTATTGTGAGGGCTAATTCAGGTCAGCTGCAGATGTCTGTGCTCCACCTGGTCAGGGCCATATTCAGATAGACTCCTTCCCTAATGTTAGAGTAGTGGCTCTCGACTCCCCCCAAGTCAGGGCACCTTCCACCACTTTTCTGAATTTGGCAGCACTCCTGGTTGAGAACCACTGTTGTGCTTCCTCCGATGACCTTGGTGGCTCTCAACCGGGGAACTGCCCGTCACTCCTGCCTGTAGGGTTTCCTGATAAACCTAAACCAAGCAGGAACAGAGACATAACGAATGGAGTTTTGAGCCCTAGGCAAACTCCCCTGTGCCCAGGAGGTGGAGGAAGGGCAGGGGTCCAACCCTGCATGCTTCTCCTGGAAACAAGGGTGGGCAAAGTACACCTCTGTTTTTTGGAGAAGCATGTGGGGGTGGACTGGGAAAGGCTGCAGGAAGAGAACAGGCTCTAGCTGCTTCCTGATCTACCTCCACAGGAGGCATGCAGGGCATTTTAACCTGGCCATGGCAACACCCACGTCCCAGCACCGCTGGAAGGCACACTGCGCACTGCAGAACTACCGTCTTAAAGGGAGAATGTGTCCCATCAGTAAGATCTAGAAGTTAAACAAATTCCACCACATGATATAATCTAACAGCCAACCTCTTAGTAACTGCAAAAGGAAAAACAACCAAATGCCTCTTCCAGTTTTGTGTCCTCATAAAGGGGTAAGTAAGGAGGAAAGGACAAAAAGCCACCCACAGCACTAACACACACAGCACCAGAACGGAGGCAGGAAGAGTAGGCTAGTGAAAAGGAAAGTAACCCATTGGCAGTAGGGCAAGTGATCTTCCCTACTTTATCTCTGGGTCAATGCCAAACTGCAAACTGAACGTGCAAAAGATCTGAAAAAGCTCATGATAATAGAAAGTAGTAACACAGCACTCTACTACACTCATTTACTGAAATACAATACAACAAAAACTGCTGGAAAAAACAAATATTAGTTTTGGCTAGCCTTGTTTGAAAGTGAATTTGCTGACTACATCCCTTCCTGGTGTCCCTGGTTCAAACTCTGATGTACAGAACTGAGTCAGTAAAGCAGTATTCTGTTGAGCACTATTAAACTAAAATAAACCATTAAGGGCTGGCAGTTTGGGCAGCTAGTTTACTCCGTGCTTGAATTCAGTATTTATACACTTGCTTTCTCTCTGTCCCTAGGCCTTCAGAATGAATTCTCATTGACATTTAAGCTCCATATTGTTTATAATAAAACATAAAAAAATATCATAGTAAAAATAAACAATAATGAAAAAAATTTCTAAACTGCCAGCAGGCTGCTGACTCATTTGTGCCCTGCCCTAAAGAGCTGACAAATCTCAGAGCTAGACCAGGGTGAAAAACATAACACATTTGGGGAAAACTTTCAAGTGAAAGGAGGGGAAATGTTATGATCAGCTCCAGCTCTAACAAAAGCATCATTTTTCTTGACTCCTGCCCTCTTAGGAAGTCAGGAATTCTGATTTACACCTTTGTCAATTTTTTTTGAGCCCAGCATGCAGAAAGTAACCAGAAGACAACTTTACTTTTAAATCTTGTAGCAAAGTAAGCCATGATTTCTATAATAAAGAACTTGCATACTGATCTGTCTTTTGGTATCTTGTATCCAGGTTACTCTTGGGTCAATCAGATATGAATTTCACGTGGAAACTCTTATCTTGCCTTATGTCTAGGGTTTCCTAGACATAAGGCAAGGTTTCAGAAGACAGGAAGGTTTCCCCTTCCTGTCTTCTGTGACAAAAAAAATTCTTTCTGGTAGCATCCAGGATTTCTGCACCAAGTGTAAGTGTGGTGATCTTTAACAATGCTAACAGGAGGGAACACTATCCTATTAATTCATCAACATTTCAACTGGAGAAGTTCAGACAATACCAAAGCAAAATAGAATACGTGCTGAATATTTTTAGACAAGTAAAGCAGCAACAGCGATATTGCAACAGAAAAACATATACATACTACAGGCAACAGGAGTTGCAGGCCACATTAGTTCCTGCATGCGTGACCTTCGACCTTGTGAATCGACGTACAATCCCATATGGCTGAAGCAAAGCAGGTATTCCTCATTACTGAGTTCCACAGCACAAAGGGCATCAAAAGACTGCTGTGAGAGGAACATAAGCGAGGGGTCATTAGGATTTACCAGGTTTATAGACTGTCCGTCTCCCTGGATGTTCAACAGAGAGAACCCAGACTGGTAGCCAACACAGAGCTTGTCCTTGAACACTGACATCCACTGTACGGTTCCTGGAGCCTGAATTTCACTGAATTTTTTGTGGAAAGGTTTAGTTCTGTGAGTTTCATAGCAAAGAACCTGTCGTTTGACTGCCACAAACAAGCAAACGGAAGAACTTTTCTTCAGTGTTCCAGTTGTAATAAACTGGCAGCCTTTAGTTTCTGGAAGTTTGATATCAAAGTTGCCTTCTGATCCATCCAGGGAGGCCCAGGGGTATAAGTGAACGTGATGGTTCCGACCACAGACGAGGACGATAATTTTCTCTTTGGGCACAGGCTCTATCTGGTACACCTTCTTACAGTCAGCAGCTCGGACTATCACTGCAATAAAGAACAAATACTACCATATGATAATACCTCCAGGCTTCCACAAGTCCGCTGTAATGTACGAGTGTCGGAAATGTATTTAGACAAGCACACACCCTCTAAAGGAACAGTACCGACCCTTGGGCCTAGGCACCCCACTGCCATTTCTTAAATGCACAGCCATGAAATATACCTCTCTTCCAATTCCCCTGTTCAGTGATAAAAGTACCACAGCTACAGCGACACGTGGCAGCAAAATACACGTGTAGGGTCTTGGACATCTTCCACCACACTTCACATTTCCTCAGATAGGGAAAAATAAATGGGCCTTACACTATGCCCCAAAGGTCAGGAAATTGAAACCATTATGAAATCCAGTCAATGACTTCACCTCCCAGAGAAAGGAGTATTTCGATCATTAATAAATGAAGGGGAAACCAGGGAATTGGAGGGGTGAGAGAGGGCAAGGAAGGAGCTGGAAAGACAAACATTTTTTTTTCTAAACGTTAAAGACAGGAAAACACAAAGTATTGTAGAGCTGGACAATAGCTCTTTGACCCAGGTGTAGACATGGGATGCCAGAGATCAAAGAGAAAATGAGAGCCAGAAGGAAGCACATTCCCATTAGTGGCTCTAGGAAAAGTCAACATGTTGGGAGGTTTAAGGTAAGCGCCAAGCAAGTCTGAAATATGAATTTTGTGTTAATATGTAAAACACAATCTTATAAAACTCAACCAACACATACTCATTAGCCTTTGGATATCAGGAATTTTATTTATTTTTTATTTTCTATTAGAATAAATACTCAAGCATTTCAAAATAAATATTTGAGGAAAAAATAAAATTATGAATTGATGCTTACATATATTGTCCAACAAATGGCAAAGTAGTATAGTCAACTACTAGCGTTTGCGCATACACACACACACACACACACACACAAAAACTAATTTTGGATATGAGATCAAATACCTGATTTTTTTCCTTTTCTGCCTTGCACAGTAGATAATATATTTGTAGACATTTTCCAAGAGATGGTAAGCAATCTTATTTTGCAAGATCTTGCTATAGATACAATATGATGCTAGCTTGTCCAAGTCTAGCCCTCATTTCAGTTTTTATTTGGAAGTAAAAATGTAAGCTTTTTATAAGAGATCCTGGATAAAGGCATCAGATATGACCAAATGGACAAAAAAAACCATCTGCTGTTAATTTAAAGAATACTACTTATGAAATGAACAAAATTCAGGGTCTTGCTACACAAAATGCAGTATACACAATTCAAGTTATCTCCTCCTAATTTGCTGAAACAGGAAGGTTGATATATTCCTCTTATTCAGCCCACTTAGCTTCACTATTTAAATAGTCTGGAGGATCACTTAAATGCATACTCATTTCGCAAGGATTTAAATTACCTGGATTATTTTGTTTACATACATAGTCCTACCAAAATCCATGAGGTTACTCACAAGTAAAATGATGCCTATGCTTAAGATCTTGTAGTACAGTAGCCATTGGAATATAATGAAAGAAAATATTAAACACTAAAGAGAATTCTAAGCAAATCTTACACTTCCTGTGTATAAGGTTCCTCAGAGAACTAGTATGTTTTTTTAAAAGTTACACAATTCCATAGTATGTATAGTCCTTTTTATTGTACTATAGTGCAAGCATGCGTTTTTACTTGATGAATTTCTGTCGCTATTCAGTTTTTGAAGTCCAATAAAAACAATTAATTAGGAAATATACTTTTAAATTCTGTGTTTATTGCTCCATTATGAGTTGTATCATAAGAATTCTTGCACTACCGCAAGCTAAACATAATTTTATTTTATTATTTAGTGTTAGGAAGACAAAATTAGATTTTGAGTTGCTTGAAGAATTTAAATACGTTTAACATTAAAAGTTTACTTACAGCATGATATTAGCATTGGTGACTTTTCTTGAAAGCTGGGTTGGGCCACTATAAATGTTGGTCAAACTTTGGCCCATTATGGATTTTAAAACACTATTCTGAAATGTGCCATAGCATCTTCCTGTCTACCATGGTCCCCAAGACCCCTTAATTCTTCATAGCTTTTAGCCACTGGGGCTTTGTTTCAAGGCTGTAAAGGGTGTCTAGCTACTCTGATAATGGAGTAAGTAGAAAGGAGACTAACAGGTAGGACACCTTGGGCATTACTAGATGTGCTCCAGGAGGTGGGGAGAGGGAGCTTTAATTAGCAAGCCACGCTAATTAAAAGCACCTGAGTGTCACATATTAGCGACTCTGCTGGAAAAATGGCAGTGGGGCACTTTGAACTAAAGCTCATTAGAATAAGCTTTAGTTCAAAGCACCCCCCACCATTGTTTCAACACAGGGACACCGATACATGTGATGCTGGAGGCTGCTGGAGTGTGTTAATTTTCATGCTCCAGCAGACTCGATTGAGTCTGCTGCGAGATGCTGCGTTTACATTTACAGTACATAGAGCAGCCTTCATGCATGTGTGTAAGTGCCCCTTGTTAGCATTTAGTGGGTCACAAAAGACAGACCTAGTAACAGCTACTTCCTTGGGAGAAGAATATTGGTCTTACAACAAGTCACCTCTAGGTTTTTATGACACCAGAGAAATCAAAAGGGCCTAAAAATTAATTACGTAGCATGACTTGGAAAATGGAGAAATGAATTAAGCAATAGATCAACTTTTAATATATCTCCTTCTCCAGAAACATATTTTATTTAGCACATAATTCAGTTTAACAACTCATCTGGTTTGATTACTTGCTTCAGGATGCTCTGAAGCAGGGGCTGTCCAACTGGAAGCCTGCAAGAAGCTAGAGCACTGCCATGGGCTTTCTGTCTCTCTGTTGCTCCCCTCGTTGCTTTGGATGCAGTGGCAGCTTTTCCTCCTCCAACTTCTGCTTCCCAGCCCCACTCCAGGGAGCCAGGCTGTCTCTGAGCCCTGGAGCCAGGTGCGCAGCAAGGGAAAGCTGAGCTGGCTGTGTGGCAGAGGCGGGACTTTTCCACACAGCGAGCAGCCTGAGCACATGCGAACCCTGACTGCAGAGGAATAGGACACCCCTGCTCTAAAGCAAGGGTGTCAAACTCATTCAGCCCCATGGGCCAGATGCATGCTCCTGACCCAGTTTGTGGCCTGGACCAGGCTGGGCCCAGCATCCCCTTAGCTGTGTGCAGTGCTAGGTCCAGCCCATATGCCATAGGCAGTGTGTTATCTGTGCTGTACCTGTGTGTAGAGAGCCCTGGGGCTGGTGTGTGCTGCATGCAGAGCCCTGGTCTGACCCTCCATGTTGCGTGCAGCACCCATGGTGCAAGATCCAGCCCATGTGTCACATAGACCACACAGGGGCCTAGGCTGGAGCCAAGGCATGGGGGTCAGTTCAGTGACTCACGGGCTGAATCATACAGCTCCATGGGCTGCTCTAAAGCATTACACAAAATATTTTAGAGAAATGAAATAAACAACAAAACATTGCAACAATATTATAATACAGCTTTAACCACAAACTAGCTGTACTACAAATTAAGCAAGGGGAGCAGATATGAAGGGCTAATTACCATAGAGAGGTCCCTAAACTCATTTCTGTTATTAACTTTCTGGCTCTCTCGCCTTCTTCATGGAACCAAGGCATAATTCTTCCCTCAACCACATGTGTTTGGTCTCTAGTAAAATCAGACTGAAAGGAAGAATGCTTCCTTCTTTCCTTCCTTTTGTAGCTCTGAAGACAGGTAAATAAGCTCCAAAACAATTCCTCAAGGGGAATAGGGCACAGGATCTGATGGAGGGCTAAGTAGCAATCCCTATTCACATACTGCCTGGAGCTTCCTGCATGTATGCACTGCTACAGCTGGTGGTAATAACTCCTCAAGAGTTTAGAAATACTATCTTTGGCCTTTCCTCTGCCACCAAGGCGAGCAGGAAGTGGATGGGTAGTCTGCACCAGGAATAAGAAAAGGGAGGAGGCCTGACCTAATCAGCTGGACAGGAACTTTGGAAGGGGAAAGGAAAAGGTGGTGAAAGAAAGAGCACGAAGGAGGCATCTAGTATATCTATTAGTCATGCCCACAGTGTGGAATGTCAAACCAATGGCAGCAACAGTAAAAAATGCCACCAGTTGGGAGGAGAGAGTAAATGGAAGAAAACAAATTCAGATTTATAGTGTGCAATAATTTCTGTTATAAAATTCCAGTAGATGCTGCGCTAGCAAGACACAGCCAGCCATCTTTAAACATTCTAGTAGATGCCAGTGCAAGTCATCTGACTGAGCAGGTTGAAGAAATCAGTTTTACTTCCTACACCAATATATTGTCAGATTTCTGTTTCAACTCAAACTCTAGATAAAGAAAAAAACCCCAAATGTATTTTCCTTGAATGGCAGCTTGGCTATTCATTATATATGAATTAGTGTGGTATGTGACAAGTGCTTTGCTGCCTGCTGTGAGAAAGCAGTTAAGGTGAGAGCTGTGCCCCAGATTATGCCCAGTGAGCTGGCCCCTTAACTTCAGGCAGCCAACTAAGCATAATGATAATAACCAAATTAGTCTTTGCATTGCAGACCCCGGTTTCTGTCTCATCAGTTAATTCAGTCTACATATGAAAGGCTGTGGTGTAACATACATTAAGAAGGAGCACTAAAATTTATGATGCTCATTATTTAGCATGCACTCAGACCTAACTTACCATCACGGGTAACCTCTATCACATACAGTCCTTCTTCTGAACCAATTGCTATTCTGTCTCGATCTAAACCAGAAAGGAGAAAAAGAACAATTCATCTAAGTGTGTTTAATGTTACTTCTAGAATTTTTTTTTTTTTTAAAACACCAGGAAAAAATTTCCTCCCAACAAATAGTGCAAATAGCTGAATCACCTTGCAGAAAACAGTGTTACAATAGTTTTTGCATCATGTACATTTTATACTCTGCCCCAAGCAAAGAACAGGTTGTTACAAGATACAGTAACTGTTTTGCTGAAGAAAATGAGCAACACAGCAAGTACAACCACATGGGAAGGATGGTGAAGTCAAATGGCAGAGTGAATAATCAGAATTGTGAATAAAACAATCACTATTGTTCCAGAGAAGAGTCCCACTCCAGACTTGTGATAAAGGTTACTGAAGGTGACTAACCATGAATGGGTGCCTTATCATTTGGATCGAGAAGACAAAGACAGCTAGACATAACTCCCTTGTTTGCTGGTGGCTACAGAAATTGGTGTACTATAACCATGCTAGGCTTAAAAGGATCTACAAACTTCTGATATGAGTTGTGGCTTTTCTTATTTAACCAGGCACAGTATTTTTGTGGTGAAAAGGTTCTCTCAAATACCTCTTACACACACTGTTAATAATCTGGAAGACTAGTTAAGATTAGCATCTTAAAAAAAAAGTAGTAAAGTTTTCCCACCATCCTTTTATGTGAAGAGATTACTTGAGGATTACATTTTAAGGTGTCACGGCATTTAACAGAATAGTCTACCTTAATGCTGTAGCAGAGCACAGGCTGTATGAAGGGTAAAACAAAACATACCTAAAATAGCAGCAGCTAAGCTTGTTTTAATGAGTGGCAGCGTACTGTCATAGGCTTCTTGTGGAATATGTACAACTTGGTTTTTAAGTCTGTTTTTGTGCAGGATAGATTGCAGCCCTTCCAGGATTCCTACCCATTTTCTCTTTTCATTCTCATTTTCTGTCAGGATCAGTAAAGAACAGGTCTTTGAAGGTGAGCCCAAGAGAGAAGCCGTCACCTTTTAACAGCCACAGAAAGAAAAAATTAATACCTGTATAAAAATCAGTGGTTCATTTTGTACAAAAACAGACTTTAAGGCAGAGATATCCAAGAGTTTCTGGATACATATGTAGAAAAGGCATTTAACATTGTATGCACCTTAACATGGTACAAAGAGCATTTAAACATTTTTTTTTTGTCAAGCTACCCCTGACTACATTTAGGGATTTCACATGAAAAAATATTCTGGTTTAGATAATGAATGTTAAATTCATATATGAACAAGTCTACATTCTTTTCCCAAAAAGATCTAATTTAAGACATACTGGTAGCATCTACACGAGATGCTGACTGAGGGGTAGCTTGTTACTACTGCGCAAGTGTCGCATGGCACAAAGCATGATGCGATCCTACTGTGCAGTCACCAAGAAGCAGTAACACCAGTTACTCAGCAGTTATTTAGTACTTGTGCATGCAAGTATTACATGACTGTGCAGTAACAACTGCACAGTCAGTGTCTTGTGCAGACACAGCCACTAAGTAATGGGAACTTCTCCTTCCTGTAAGGGATCCAGGGTACCATGCATTAATTTATCTTGAAACACAAGCATTTCATTCTCAATTAATTTCTATTAAAAATGGAAATTTTCCTTTCAAGAAAGCAGCACTTAAATCCGAAAACACCGAACTGAATTTAAATCCTGCAGGACTGAACCCCCAAAATTTTGCTGCTCAATGGCTTATTTTCAAAACACTTTGAGTTGGACTGAATGTATTAGCAGCTCATTTCTAAATGATACATTGCGGCAGAAAACACTTTTTTTTTTTTACATTGCGTCTAAAATGCTGCTTTTTTGTAAAGTGAAACTATGAGGGGGAGAGGGGTTTGTTGCTAAAGAAAGATATGGAGATTATTAATTTCTCTCATTATGCACATGAATCTCTCTCTGAACAGACTGTTTTTAATAGGAATATAGCCTTTCAATTTTTTTCTTTCAATGTATGGAAGTGCTATTACCATTAAGCTGCATCCTATACATACAAGCCATGGAAAAAGGCAGATCTGTCCATCACAAGCAAATCAGTATTATTCTAAAGCTAGCAGTAATAATAAAATCAGGAATAGTGGCTATGTTAATCAGAACACTTCAGCAATCCCCAAGTCCCAGAATAGAAACAAAATCTTCAGTTTACAGTCTTTATGCAAAAATGAAGTATAGATTGGGCTGGTTACTAGACATATTCCTGGGAAACCAAGTCAAAATTTACTTTTTTTTCCCGCAAATGTATCTGCAGGAACCTTTACCACTTGTATGGAAGGGCAGCGAGAGCTCCAGAAAAAAAGATGAAAGGCACAGACAGTAGAAAGAAGAGGAAAAGAACTGAAGACACAGGCTTAACCAGGGGTGGGTAATTATTTGGGCCCATGGGCCACACAGGGAGTTTTGATGAGTTGTCGTAGGCTGGGTCAGCTCCCCCCGAACTTAACAAAATTCCCTATGTGGGATGGGATCACAGGTGGGGAGCAGTGTTCAGGAGCAGGATGGGTGGGCGAGGCCAGGATCACGGAGTGGTGACAGCGCGGGGCTGGGGCTGAGAGCAGACCCGTGATCTGCTGCCTGCACGCCCCTGCGACGAGCGTGGGTTCCATGGGCAAGCGTGTGCGGTGAGTGAATCGTGGCTCTGCCCTGGGCCTGCACTGTCACCGCTCCAAGATCCTGGACCCAGACTTAGATGCAGTTCCATGCCTGCCCAGCTATGGACCCTGAAGATCATGGGGCAGGGGCAGTGTGGAGCTGGGGCCAGGGCCAGGGCTGAGCTGCTCCCTGCATGTCCCTGCCCTGTGGGGTGTGTGTGGGGGATGGGATGGGGTGAGGGGCTGCATGCAGCAAAGCTCACTCAGGTGGTGCAGTCTGCGACTGCCCCGCAGTACTCTGCATGGGGCTGAGCCCAGCATGCTCCTGCCAGGGAAGCTCCAGCCAGCTTGCACAGCTTCTGGTAGGGCTGCTCCCAGAGTGGCTGCAGCCACCTCGGTGATGCTCAACTCCCCTTGCCTCCAGCTGTGGCTTCTCCTGGCTTCTGCCCTTGCTGCAGTGCTCTGGGCAGGGAGGAAGCTTCAGCTGGGCAGCTCCTGCTCCCACCTGCCTTCCACCCACTCAGCTACCCACAGGTGGCTGCTCATTTCACCATGGGGGCAGAGTGGGTGGATGGTGGCTAGGAGCTGGAGCCAGCGCCCCATGCCCTGGGGCAGGAACTGCCTGGCTGAAGCTTCCTCCCCAGAGTGGCAAGGCAGGAGCAGGAGGAGAAACTGCCACTGGAGGCGAGGGGAGCTGAGCAGCACCCGGGCAACTTCAGGTGCACTAGCAGGAGCCCTGTCAGAAGCTGTGCGTGCTGGCCAGGGCCAGTGTGTGCAGGCAGGAGTGCAGTGCCAGCTGCCCCAGGCAGGGCTTGGCTCCACGCAGAGTGCTGAGCGGGCAGCCAAGGGGCAGATGCAATCAGCTGAAGGGCTGGATCCAGTGCGCAGGTTGTATTTTGCCCACCCCACTTAACTAATGCCTGAAGTTTGTACAATTCTGCACCCAACAGCTGCACCTATAAAGGTATTTTGATTCAGCTTGAAATGTTTTCCAAAGATACCCCTCAAGAACCATGTTACGACCCTGCCTCCAAGTTTAAGACTTGCTTTTCTTTTTTCCTTTTTTCTAAGTGGTAGCACAAAATATTCTTTCCACCCATCCATTTTAGCCTCTTAAGTAGCACAAAGCTTGGCAAAATACTACATTTATCATGCGGATCTCAGAAGGGATGGCACTGGAGTAATACAGGGGAGTTAAAAAAAATGGTCTCCCAGACACTAAAATTTTATAACAGCACAAAAGCACTTCCTGGAAGCTTTAATAGCTGGCCTTTGCTCCCAAACTGATACATGATTATAAAAGAGCAGTGTTAGAATTTGAGATTCAAACATGATCCTGATGCAATGCATTTTCTATCTTGATCTAATTAAGGAGGCCTGCGAGAAGAACTCAGTGTTACTTTGAAAACTGCCATTTTGGAGTTCTTGCGAGTCGTCTTCTTCAGCAATCCCTCGCAGTCGAGGCTGATTGTCTTCCATGACTGTCTTATCTGCGGGTCTGAAGATGGCTGATGATGCACACCCTGCCACAACTCAGGCACGTGTTCTGTGTGGGGTAGGTGGCTCCAGATTCCCGATTTAGTCCGCAAAATGCTGTTTCTGCTGCTCCTGGTTTTTCATCTCCTGTTATTGTTATGCAGTTTCAAAGTACTGAGATCTCTGCAGCAGACTCTTCCTCCATTTAGGGAGGTCCTGGGTGATAGTGTCCTACGAGTTGATGTTGGTATTGCATTTTTTCAAGTTGGCCTTGAAAACGTCCTTGAATTGCTTTCTCTGCCCTCCTCTTGAGTGTACACCTTGACAGCTGAGAGAATAAAGCCTGCTTCAGGAGCCTGGAGCTGGACATCTGGATGACACGGCTGGCCCAGTGAAATTGATGTTGGATGATCATCACCTCAATGCTCATGATGTTTGCTTGAAAAAGAATACTAATATTGGTGCGCCTATCTTCCCACTGGATTCAAAGGATCTTTCAAAGGCAGTGCTGATGCTACTTCTCCAGCAACTTGAGATATCCCTTGTACATTTTCCATGTCTCAGCTCTCATACAGTAAGGTGGGGATCACAACTGCTTGATAAACCATGAGCTTGGTTTCAGTTCTGATGTGATCTTTGAACACCTATTTCTGCAGGTGTCCAAAGCCTGCACTTGCGCATTTGAGATGTTGGACTTCTTCGTTGGTGTCAGCCTTCTGTGAGAGATGGCTTTTGAGGTACAGGAAGTTTTCAATGTTCTCTAGAATCTCACTGTGAATCAATTACTGGAGCTGGGGACTGCTCATTAACAGCTTGTTAATGGAGGGAGGACCTTATCTTCTGAATGTTAAGCATCAATTCCATTTTCTTGCATGCCTTGATAGAGACGTTGACAATTGCATGAAAGTTTGTTTCCGAGTGAGCGCACACTACAGCATCATCAGTGTACTGGAGCTTGATGATTAAACAGTTTAGCATCCATTTAGTAGTTTAGCGCCACTGCCCGGTCAGATGTAGCATTGCGGTAAGGAATATCAAGAAATGTGTTTGGAGTGATGATGCAGCTTTGCTTAACTCCTATCTTGACTTCAAAGGGATGTGTGATAGATCCATTATTGAGAACCATCACTCACCTACTGTCATGGAGCAGGCAAAGAATGGTGATGAATTTCAGTAGGCATCTGTACTTCAGAAGGATCCTCCACAGTGCTTCTTGTTTGACAGTCAAAGGCTTTTGTGAGGTTTCACGGAAGACGCCTATGCATGACTGCTTTTATCATGAAGCTGCTGCTGCATCTCATCTTCCACATGGTTCTTGACAGAACAGGACCTTAATCCAATGGCAAGGAAGTCAAGACAACTGGACTCTTGTTCTGCTGCAGCCTTTGTCTGCCTTCACAGCTGTTGAGACTCTAACATCTTTTATCTGCTCCACTGCTGAAGACTTGTAGACCCATAGCAGACTTATTATCGTGGCAACCTATACTTGCCCTGTCACAGCATGGCAAAAAAAGTCTTGTGAGTATGTCACCCAGGAAGAGATGAAGATACATATTTTTGAGTCCCTGACATCATTTGGGCTTTTGAGAATAGTCTGGGTCAGGGCATGGCCACATTTTCTGTATTAATAATAGAAGTAAACAGTGTCAAACATCAATGGGTAAATTCTGTCTCTTGGTCCATCATTGAAAAGCAGTCCTGGAGGAGATGCTGTTTATTGTGGATGAAGCTGTTTCTGTCCAAAACCTTAAGTGCCTCTTGTGCTTGCTCAGAAACTTTTGGTGAAGAACTGTTCTCATTTCCTGTATATCGCTTCTCAACATCAGAGACAGGAAAAGTGATCTCTGAATTGTCTTCTGTTGGGTTTCTTGAGATGTTGGACTTAATGAAACAATTCTTTGATAAGACCAACTTGTAATAGCCACATTGAATTCATCTCTTGTATCCAGCGATCTGCAGAATGGCAAAACTACCAATCTTTAAAGAACCTGAGCTGGAGACAGTTTCCAGGCATCGTATTGTCCAAAACTCCCTCCAAAGCTAAATTACCCTGAAAATTTGTAGATGTCCTACCAACACAGTGAATGATCTATTTGTCAGGATCCTAACAAGTATATTTTAGCCAAATATAGGATGCCACAAGCCTGACAAAGAAACAGACAGCTATCTGTGGAAGGATCAAAACAAAGGTTCAAGTAGCACCTTTTTCAATGACTATCCTATGCCTTTATTCTTGGGTGGTCATGCCTGTGGAGTTTGTTAGTTTTCTTTTCTGAGCTGCATGGTCTTTAATTCAGTGATGTGGACATAGTCAGAGCGCTCAGTTCAGTTAGACAGCCATTCTGTACACACTGCGCTCGTAAAACATTCTATGTAGCCATCTTCAAAAGTTGTCTCACATGCCTCAAAAAAGCTACTCACTGCCTTAAGAGAAGACTTTGGGCAGCAGCAAGGGGAAATTAAAAAAATTGGAAGACAGTATAAGAAGGCAGAAAAGCAATAAAGAGGGAGGAAAAACTCACTGCAGAAAATATTATCTAAAAGAGGCTAAAAAACTATAGTATCCCTCAAGCTGCTTCTACAAATAGGACAGAACATTTGTAGTTTTGCTTAGGGAATGGTATGAAAAACTGTGATTGCTTGCGACTGACCGCTCATCTGCTTCCATGCTCCACTAAGGCGAAGTTCCATAATTGACAGATCACAAAGAAGTATTTGCAAAGAAAAAAAAACCTCAGGGGATTAACATTTTGGCTATTTAGGACAGTACAATCTTCATCTGCTTTAAGGTTAAAGAATCTGCAGAAGTCATCTACGAAAACTTAAATGTTTGGGTGACCAAACTAACACGCTGAAGGTGAAGTGGAACTCAAGGAAAGTTATTACTCTCACCCTTTAATGATCCTCTACAGTATATCATTATGACATATGTGCAAGTTTTATTATAATATTAACCAATTGGCAGGCAGGCAAGATGCAACTCTGGTTTCAGCCTGCTAAGATCAAAAGGCCTATGGTTCTAGCTACAGTCTTACATAAACTAAGAAAATAAAAACCAGGATCTTATCATTCCAATGCAAAGTGAAAACCCTAATCACTGTATTTCAAAAATAAAGGTAATACTTAAAATTTATTACCAATTTTTATGTATTATAAAACTGCAATAAAAGGTACAGAAGACCTTTTGCACTTCACAGTTCACTTATGGAGAAATATCAGACCCTCTTCCTTTGAACTTTCAAACTTCCTTTACCTGTTTATTTGGGTTATTTCTGCAATCTGATAAAGATCAAATTTTACTCTTTAATGAAAAATAACTCTATGGACAACAATGATGAAAATACCACAGTAATAATACCTAATGTGCATTTTCTCTAAAAGAAAGGTTGAAAAGTCATACCCTGAATATACAAGGGATGTCTTTACGGGTGGCATGTATTACGTCTGATGCCAAGACAGAGCTCACACAAAAATCTTCATCTCTGGTAAGAAATAAAACAACATTACTAACATAGCAATATAAAACTTCTAAAGAAACTGGTATCAGGCTCTTTGAGGGATTGCACCCTATCATTATTGTGATAACATCTAGAGACCTCGTGTGCTAGAAAAGGTACACATAGTGGGAGAGGGAGGAGGTTTCCAAGGGATCTTACAGATTTGGATTCTGGTCCAGCAACTTATAGCATGCAGATGGGCCTGTTGCACCTGCATGGAGCCCTGAAGTGGTCAATGTGGATGGGCTCACTCTGTCAGGACATCACAGATTCATCAGGCCTCTTATGCCAAGGGTTTGGAAAGGGAGAGCCACTCTTTTAATCCATAGATTTTAGAAATGAATACCCATAGCTCAAAGTGAAGTTACCCATTGCAAACAGACATCAAACGCACTCAACAGAACAGGTGGACTTTTTGTGGGTTTCAAATACAGAAGTGCGCTTATATTTTCAAATGGATGGAGTTTCCTTCTTTTGATGATCACATAAACAAACAGTGTACATCACAGTTATCTCAAGTGCAATTTGGATCAGGTCCTACCACAATGGGAATGTCTACTCTAGGCTCTTTAAATTGCACCTGGACAAGTTAAATCACAACAGTTGTAAATTCTCATGTAAAGGAGTCACTGACATTTGCTCCTTTAGTTGTGCATTTCAGTCCTGTCTGCACTAGACTTTGCAACCAAGATGATTAACCTGCATTAAAAACACTACAAATCCCAGTGGAGACAAGCCCAAAGAAGCAGCTTTCAATAACAGCTAAAGCAGAAGCCTGCTAAGAATCATGTCTGACTAAACTGCCCCAGGCATTTCATTAATGTGAATGCTGTTATTTGCAATGC